AGAGAGAGGTAGAGAGAGAGAGAGAGAGAGAGAGCAGATAAAAAGAGATTGTGAGAAGGAAGAGAGTATGAGAAACAGAAGGGGAGAGAGGGAGAGCTAGAGAAGGAGGGCAATTAGCATAGATGCAATACTGGCGCAGTCCTCCGACTTGATATTTGACCTTCTGTGAGAGCCTTGCCAAATATCGCCCTGAGAGACCCAGACGACCATATGGCAAAGTGCCGCCGGAGGCCCTGCTCAGTTTGACTCTCCTGGGCCACCGTATGCTAATGTGGGGGAACGTAATTACACTACAGTATTCCTATAGGAGCTAGCTCTACTTTACGCCGCCACTGTAGGAGCAGATTTATAGTGAGATAGCCATTGGGACTTCTGTCGTCTTGGGGGACGAGTGTAGCAGAAAGGTACAGTTTTATCCAGTTCAGCATTGGGCTGGCAATGGAATGGAGGTGGAACTATTCCGTTAGAATGACAAGAACAGACATTCCCATGAGCGTACCAGTCAAATTGCCATGGTCTAAAGGGGTTTTGACCATTCTAGTGACTATCTCTATGGGGGTGACAGGGTCAACAAGTGACCTAGTAAGAGTAAAACCTGGTCCAAACATGGTAATATAGGCCTATTCTTTATGCAATATAGTCACACTATAGCTCTTCTGTCAATACTATAGTCAGTCACACTTCACTGCCATAATGTGTGTCAACGTCGGTAATATCAAAATATTTATTCATTATTTCTAATGAAAATGGCCTAGTGTAAAAATAAATACAAAACACAGTTGTATATATATATTGAGTTGTATCAACCTAAACACCACTCATCATCAAAATCCAATACAATGACGGGACAGAGACCTTTGAAAGAAGAATTTGTTATTATTTTGAGCACTGTAAAGAAACTAATTCAATATAAAAAGTACTCACAATTCAGCCTCCCAGACAAAGAAAGAACGAATCACACTGAATCATACTTCTCCCACATTGTGTGAAACACTTAGGGATACACTGTATAAAAAGGCACTAACCATCTGTAATACATTTGAAAGATATTTAGGTTAAAAAGGAAAAAGTCCCTGTTGCTCTCGAACGCTGCTTAGACAACCACCCCCATTCATCATGGATGGTAAATCCAAACCCACACAGTCAGAGGGGGCTGAGACCCTACTACAGAGGGAAAGCGGGGGGGGGGTTAGGCCCCTGGGTCAGTCAGACCTTTACGTCTGCAGCCCTCCAGCAGACAAGATCACATTGGCTGTGTTCAGTAAGGAGAAAACATTTGGAAACAGAGTCAAACAGGGAGGTGCGAGTCTGAAATTGTCCAATAAGAAACTCACATTTTCGTTTTACATTACAAAACGTTTGATACTTTGTACTACTGACCACGACCCTGTCATACAGCAGCACGGGACTCCATTTAAAATGAGCCTCACCTAATTCCCCTTGTGAAACTAGCAGTCCGACCCAGCCTTTCTGCACAGAGCTAGCGCTGACTAACTCTACACTGGGAGCAAAACCCTAGATTGGGTACTCTGGGGCGACAGAGGTTTCCAGAAAACAAAACAAAGACACAGAGCCAAGTCAGTGGTGCTCTAAAATGGGAAAACACACACACGGAGACAGAGACACAGAGAGAGAGAGACAGAGAGACAGAGAGACACAGAGAGAGAGAGAGAGAGAGAGAGAGAGAGAGAGAGAGCGAGCGAGAGAGAGAGAGACAGAAAGCAAGCAAGCAGGGGGAGGTTAGATGGGAAGGGGACCGAAAACCAAATGCTGGGACACACGTCAAGTGTGCAGCGCAGGGTACCTGAGGGATCTGGAGTATAGGAAACTTCCAGCCCTTTGAACGAGCGATGTCAGTGAGCGCCTGTTGGCGTGGCGGCCAGAAGAAGCCATGTGTAGCTGGTGGAAAGAGGGGCTAAGGGAGGCAACATATTGCCAGCTCCTCTGAAATGTTACATCAAAATGCAAAGCAGGAGAGCTGTGTGTGTGTGTGTGTGTGTTGAGTGAGAGCAGCTCTTCTGAGCAGATTCTCCACAGCATCCATCAGAGGAGGAGGACTGGCTCCAACATACACGTCTGTACTGGGGAGGGGGGGGGGGAGCTAAATTAGGAGGCAGGGATATTTATGGAAAAATCTACATATTATAAAGCATACCGCATCCCAAACAGTAGAGTTTTAGTTGAGAAAACCCTGATGAAGGCTATGGGCAGACAGTTTCATCAATAAAGGGCTGCTGAATAGCCTCATCACTGTAGTTGAGATCTGAATTATATTGTAGAACCAGGTAATGTAACACCACACAGAGCCGAGTTATATTCTGGGACAATTAACCAATTAGAATTAGACAATTAACCAAAATAAGCCCAAAAGAAAAGCCATTTATTGCGATATCCATTACCTCTCAATTATGTGTTCAACTATTCCTACTAGTTAGCAGACACTATGACCATACAAAAGCGACAACAACATTTGACCTAACAAGCGTTAACACATGTATGGGTAACCCAACACGTGTCTAACACGCGCTAAGTCACTATTAGTATAGCCCATGGCTAATTAACACGTAATCATTCATTATGTTTAATTAATGAATAGTGTTAATATATTGATACACATGATCAAATTCAAGGCTGAAACCAGAAGACATTTGATTGGACCGTCGACTACAGTATAGACCAGGGGTACTCAACTCTTACCCTACGAGGTCCGGAGCCTGCTGGTTTTCTGTTCTACCTGATAATTAATTGCACCCACCTGGTGTCCCAGGTCTAAATCAGTCCCTGATTATAAGGGAACAATAAAAAAAAGTAGTGGAACTGGCTTCGAGGTCCAGGGTTAAGTTTGAAGGTTGTAGGCTATGTTAAATAAACACAATAGGTCTTGCAGCCTATCATTTTACATTTTAGTCATTTAGCAGACGCTCTTATCCAGAGCGACTTACAGTTAGTGAGTGTATACATTATTTTTCATACTGACCCCCCGTGGAGACATTTGATTGGACCGTAGGCTACTAGAGAGTAAAAATATTCAAACTATATACATACACATATACAGTGTAGCCAGCCAACAAGACAAGGTGATATACAAACGTTATACTAAAGGGGAAGCGGTTCAAACGGACACATTTGATTGACACCAAGATGGACTAACAGTACTAAAACAGAAGACAGACACACAGTCACAGCGTAGCCAGCCAACGGTGCAACGTGATACTTTAAAGGAAAAGGGTTTAAAACAGAGCTAATCTAAGCAGACGACCCCCTGCTTGGTCATCCAGCTCCCCACTGATCAGACATAGAAACTGGTCACAGCAGGTCAAAATAAACCAGCTACTCCCAACAGATACAGATCCTCCCACTGCTCTTAACAGTGGAATTCCTCCAACTAGATCACTCAGAGTGACAACCACAGAAGAAGAATTCATTCTATAGTTCTAGGGTGGATTCTTGTTCTATGGTGACAACTACTACTTCCTTTTAGAATGTGAACAACATTCTATAGTTGTATGGTGAATTCTAGTTATATGGTGACAACTACAACCAAAGATGTACAATTCATTTTTCATGGAATGTAAACAGCAAAAGTGCCAACGGCTCTCTACTTCCTGGTTTGTGAATGGAAAATATGCAACCTGATGTCATCAACAGAGGCATCATACATTCTATCCTCTTTGCTCGGGGTGGGCAGAGATTGACTTCACTCCTCTAGTGACATTCTCTAACCCTGAGGGGGTCTATAAAAATAAAAACAGTATTCAAATATCTCGCTGCACACGGTATCAGAGGCATGAAATATTCATATTTGAAAGCAGACCCGGTATAAAGGGAGGTGTGGATTTGACTTGCAGAAACTGAGACGTTTTAACCGCACTGACCGATTTCTATATCCACCACAGATAGATGTCAGTCAGAAACTCACTTCCTTGTCAAGTCCCTTGGATGAGAGAGAGGCAGAGAAATATTGTAAAGTGTTCTGTCAATGGCTGTGTTTGAAATGGCACCCTATCCTCTACAGTATATAGTGCCCTACTGGTAAATAAGAAATAGGGGTCAATTATAGTGCGCTACATTGAGAATAGGATGCCATTTCAGACCCAGACAATATCAACCGTTTTCTCCTGACTCTTCCTGAAAACAACGGACGACACATCCTTGCGCCTACCATATTCTAAATGATTAGCTAACTGCAACGATAGCCGAGAACCACTATATTACGGTTAGAAGAATATCCTTATTGTCAAGCCATGTGCTAAGACCAAAACTGCCTTGGTTGACGCAGTGGCTTACTAACATCCTCTCTTCCTCGCTCTTTTCCCCCTCACACAGGTTCCCAGTAAGGACGAGATACCTTTTAACTTCTCTGCCAGAGCCGACCATCAATAATTTAGCATCTGTTTAAAATTTAAGGTGCCACACATTAACGTCGTCAGCACCTGCACTTTCACGCTGTCCACCCTCCACGCTCCGTTGCGTTCCCTCCCCCACCTTCATCCCCTCCCCTCCTATTATACAGGCCAATGACAATGAGTTCCCTCTCTCCACCGAGCCGTGGGATGTGAAATCAAACGGGGGCAGGGGGAGGCGACGGGCCGCGGGCTGTAAGGGCACCGGCCGGGGCGCCTCAGATTACGCCCCAGACTTAATTGGTGGCATTGGCAAAACTATCAATTCTTTAAGAGCTTTTGCGCTAGCTGCTGGCTGTTGTGAAGCTTCCCCAGCTAGCCAGCCAGACAGGACTGGGAGCATAGCCTAGCAGCCTAGTGGTGTTGCAAATGAAAGCTGACAGAGCCACCGCTGCTGCAAGACAAATCTTGATAAAAAATAATATAAACACAAGAAGGGAACAAAGACAGAGACCCTGGCTTCTCATGAGTAGCCCAGGGTAGAAGGTAGCATGCAGGAATGCAGCAGGAAGGAGAGGGGAGGCTAGATATGTATAATTAAGCGATCAGCTTGGATGGCAAAATCCTATTGTCTTGACAGGAGCTTAAGGTTGCCCTTTAGGTTGAGACCATGCGTTTGTGAGGAGGCGCGGGGAGGAGGTGCGGGGAGGAGGCGCGGGGAGGAGGCGCGGGGAGGAGGCGCGGGGAGGAGGCGCGGGGAGGAGGCGCGGGGAGGAGGTGCGGGGAGGAGGCGCGGGGAGGGGGCGCGGGGAGGAGGCGTGGGGAGGAGGTGCGGGGAGGGGGCGCGGGGAGGAGGTGCGGGGAGGAGGCGCGGGGAGGGGGCGCGGGGAGGAGGTGCGGGGAGTAGGCGCGGGGAGGAGGCGTGAGGCCGTCGCTTTCTTCCGTCTTTTTTTCCTCACTTAGACCTCCGTCAAATTAATCTGTGGTTTTAAAGCTCAAATAAATCAAGTAAATTAGAAGATCCGCTGATCTAAAAGGCCATCTGTCCCTCAGGGTTATTCTTTTATTCTCGCCACCCTCCACTCTACCTTGCTACTCTCTGCCTGAAGAGATTGGCTGGGAGGGGAGGGAGGGGTGCTGGGAGGGGTGCTGGGAGGGGAGCGACTCTGTATTATCTCCTGGGAGGCAAAGGTTGGGGGTGGGAGAGAAAAGGCCACAGATTGGTCCTTATCTATTCTGAGCACACCTAAAACAAATTAGACTCGGGGCGCAGTCCCTCCGACGTGTCCGTCGAGTATTTGGCTCGGCCTCGCTCTCATTAAGAGACTACAGATGGATCCCTGGCTTTATTTTCTTGAAGGTCCTGCCTCCCACCATTTTGGGGTGTCTTATCACAATTTATTTGTTTTATTATTATTTTTGCCAGAGGACGTCGTGCCACCGCTAACCGGCACCGTTTCATCTCGCCATTTCATGTATTTCACATCAACATGCCACAAAGAGAGAGAAAGAGGATGAGAGAGAGCGTTGCACACCATTTTCCGTGGCACTCTGTTTTTCCCGGGGCCGATGCCATGGCGGTGGCCTTTCACATTCACTAATTGAGAAGCGATTCTGATGTCTCAATCTTTCTTAGATAGTAGAGCAGATGAGTGATGAGAGACGAGAGTAGAGAGAGGGAGGGAGAGGAGCGAGAGGAGAGAGAGAGAGAGCGCGGAGACGAAAGAGAGAGGAGAAAAGAGAGGAGAGAGCGCAGAGAGAGAGAAGAGAGGGAGATATTATCGAGATCTATCTATCTATAGTCTCTCTCTATCTCTCTATCACTCTCTCGCTCTATCTATACTCTCTCTATCTCTCTCTCTCTCTCTCTCTCTCTCTCTCTCTCTCTCTCTCTCTCTCTCTCTCTCTCTCTCAGCAAATGGTATCAGAGATAGCCTGTAAACACCTTTTCAAGGCTAGCTAATCATCTCTTTTCAGTACATTGTGTAGCGGTGAACAGTGGTTATGTTTACAAGATACAAGGATACATTGGAAGAGTCAGAAACACAATCAATAAGATATTACTTGAAATGTCTGAGGAATTGTCCCCTTGTCTCTCAAGCAGGCTAGGAAGACATGCTCTTGTTGTTGATATCTTGCAGTAAACCGTGAGCCTTATAACATCTTGTGTACACGTCTCAGATGTATTGAATCAATCTAATGGGATAATATTTATTTGTTGGCAAGATAGTAAAGAGGAGCTAAGAGTGTACGATAGATTACACATTTGTCAAGTAAAGTGAAGAACTAGCAGAGAAACTGTGAATAAAGGACAATGTAGCAGACAGTCGGCCTCCAAATTTGTTTGACGTAAAAGGACATGCTATAGGTCTGTATCAAGAACTACAATCTAAATGGTGTCTTAGTGCCTCACCCTGTATTGAATATAAAGATGCTGTTGAACATTTCTCTGGTCTGACATCACAAAGCACTTTGATACACCAACTCATTCGGGGGGAAAGAGTCATGCACAATGGCTTACTTCTCAGTGCACAACACAGCAGCCATCTTTAAAACGATCAATCCAACCATCCATAATTACAGTTTATCGTTGTCTTAAGTCATGTATTTGTATGAATTTGTAAAGATGGCTCAATGAGGAATAGTAGCTTTAGCACGTGGGGTAATAGAGAAACTCATTCCCTCTGACAGCCCCTAGCGATGTTTCAATAATTCATGGTGCATTTAAGCTGCATCTCTCTCACACTTTTAAACTGTTTATGAATACAACCTCCTCCGAATTGGGCTGGTAGAGAAATGGATCCACATTACTCCTGGTCTCTGAGTCCTTCCCTAAATCAACTATACTGTAACCGTATGATAGCGCTCTACAAATTAAGTAGTAAAACTGAAGTAAAAGCAAGAAAGAAATTACACTTCACTTGAAAGGTACCCTCATCAAGACTTCATAACACATTCAGAACCAGTACTGTATGTGTTCAGAAGCAGGACATAAGCATTTCGGACACACTCATTAACGGTATGATTCACAACCCCGGTGAGACCTGGCCTGCAGTGCCAGTGCAACAATAACATTGTGTGTAATTGTAAGATGCAGGGCTCCCTTGCGAAAGAGGCCTTGGTCTCAATGGGACTCCCTGTTGAAATAAAGAGGCGTGTAGGTTTCTCAGACTACAGCTTGAACCCTGGAGCCACGGGGTCCACACCAGGCAGTTAGCTGCTGGGGAAATGTTAGGTTGGATGAGATGCCTCCTCTACGCCACACTAATCCATTATGGGGTCAGGGGGGGGACAGGAGGAAGAGCGGAGAGAGAGAGAGAGAGACCAGAGAGAGAGGGAGAGAGAGAGAGAGAGAGAGACGAGAGGGAGGAGAGGAAGAGAGAGAGGAGAGAAGGAGAGAGAGAGAGAAGAGGAGAGGAGAGAGAGAGAGACGAGGAGAGAGAGAGGAGGAGAGAGAGAGAGAGGAGAGAAGAGAGAGAGAGAGAGAGAGAGAGAGAGAGAGAGGAGGAGGAGAGAGGAGAGAGAGAGAGAGAGAGAGAGAGAGAGGACACAACACAGAGAGAGAGGAGACACCAGAGAGAGAGAGAGAGAGACACAAGAGAGAGAGAGAGAGGAGACAGAGAGAGAGAGAGAGAGGAGAGAGAGAGACACAGAGAGAGAGAGAGAGACAGAGAAATAGAGAGAGAGAGAGAGAGAGAGACAGAGAGAGAGAGAGAGAGAGAAGCACACAGAGAGAGAGAGAGAGAGAGAGAGACACACAGAGAGAGAGAGAGAGAGAGAGAGAGACAGATTGAGAATGAGAGATTGATTTAGAAAGAGAGAGAAAAGCAGACAGACTGCTGCAGAACAGAACAGCACAGCAGTGACACGGGGCAATCCTCCAGGGTCTTGCATTAGTGCGCTAAATTAAAGGGGGTATTAGATTAAATTGGCTCTCCGATTTCAGGGGTGTGAGTAAAATTCTGATTTGCATTTATCCACCGCTACTTAAGATATAATTAGTTCAGGGTGATTCCCATGTGGAAAACACTGACAACCAAATCTAACTGGCTTCTGCTGCTAGCTTATCGTCGCTTCCTCCCTTCTTAGGTGAGAGGTACAAGCTGCTAATGTTTATGTGTGTGTGTGTGTGTGGGGGGAGGGGGTGGGGGACTGTGAGTGTGCTTTTGTGTGTATGTGACAATGTGTGACTGTGTGTGTGAGTGACTGTGTGTATGTGACTGTGTGTGTGTGTGAGTGACTGTGTGTGTATGTGACTGTGTGTGTGTGCGTGCGTGCTTGTGACTGTGCGTGCGTGTGTGACTGTGCGTGCATGCGTGTGTGACTGTGCGTGCGTGCGTGACTGTGTGTGTGGGCTGAAAAGTCTATGCAAGCTCGCTCGAGTGCCGCTCATTTTCCCACACGTTTGAGTCTCAACATGGAACCACGCACGATTGTTCACAGCACACGAGATAATGTGGTGAAAATGACTGAATCTGAACATATCAAAAATGTATCCAAATCAAGTGTGTATGGAACTAACTTCACACCTTCTACGATGCCTTTGAACCCAACACACACACAGCCTCCTCGGTACAACCTGATTCTATAATTACAGGTACCGAGACGAAAATAATCATTACCGTTACCAGTAGAAGAGGAACCCCATAATCTGAATGACAGAACTCACAACTCAAATACCTATTTCTCTTTCAAAAGCAAGTTTGGATTCGTTTTTGTTTTTCTTCACACCCTCCCTTCCGTCCATGGTAATTCCAACGTCTTAGTTGGCAAATTGATGTTTTGCTCGAACCCAGTCAAACCAGCCATTAGGCATGAAAGGCCTTCTTCCTGAACACCTGTTTGAGAACACCTGTTAGGACCTGGGATGTGGAGTCAACATCAAATGAGCCTCTATGGTTCACCTGTAACCCCCAGCATTTAACGACGTCCTGCAGTCATTTTTTAACTTTTCCTTTTGAAAAGCGAAATAGTGTTTTTTAGACAACTGTAAACTTCAAGGAGTAGGGAATTCAAAGAGTTGGTCTGATGGTGACTGTGATGTCATCAGCCTCCCCCTTGCTTGAGGAACAATAGAGAACAAAAAAGGAGAGCCCCCCCCCCCCCCCCCAGGACCACCTATTGAGATGTGCCGTTTGTTAAGTGAAACGGGTGTTAAATGAGGTGAAAAGGAGACTGGAGTAGGACTTTAAAAGCCACAACAGCCATGTTTCAGAGGGCGGTACAGAGAGAATGTGTCTCTTGTGGTTAAAGGAGTTATATGACGTAAAGCTGATGTTGATGTACTGGTAATCAAGCCAAGTATCAATAACACTAACCTGGTCCCAGGCTGTATAGCCAACGCCTAAGGTCTTTGTCAACAGATCAGGGACCAGTCTAGGAAAACACGGACCTACCTGTAACACGGGTAACAAGGATTGTGTGGTTTAATGAGGTAGGAAAGTGATCAATATTTTATCACATGCACCATACAGTCAACACTGAATCTAAGCTTGATGAAGTCATTGCACTCTAGAAATATGGGAAGAAAACACTTCACTTTTGACTAAATTGAATACACTATAAATTAATCAAAATATGACACCTTCACATGGGGGGACTAGATACATAAAGTGCTTTCATTTCTAAAATGGTAAAACAGATATGAAAATACCCGCAAATAAAAGGTGACATTATGTACTGTTCCCTCATAAAATATTTGATCTCAAATCCAAAATACTGGAGTATAGAGCCAAATTCAAATGTTTAGCTTCACTGTCCAAATAAATATGTCGAGGAGTGTATGCGTGTACCATACAGTCAAAACTGAATCCAAAATTGTAGGTAAACAAAAACAAACTAAAAACTTCCATAGTGTACCTTTAACACAGAAACCATTAAACCACAACCCTTTAGACGGACCTAGAAGTCAGTTCAGGACAATATCGTGGCTAATTCCATTCAGTCTGAAGCATGGAACCATCAAATATTCTCACTTTCTTATATACGGTCTGTTGGAACCAAACAAAATCCTGAACAAATTGGTCGTATGATGAATCAATAATACAAATATGTGCTGGGCCATGCCTTCACTAGATCCACCACATGCATCCATCTGCGTATTCACTCAGATCCTGTGCATTATTTAGGAGTTACGAATCAATGTTTCCATTGTTTTCTATAAGGTAGGCAGAAGCATCAAGTCCAGCAATTCGGCAATAAGAAAACCCTAAGCTGAAAATGGATCTCCAGTCTAACAACACACTTCAACACCATTGTCTCAAGGCTTTAAAAGTCCTTCTTTAACCCGGCTCCTCCCCTTCATCTACACTGATTGAAGTGGATTTAACAAGTGATCATAGCTTTCACCTGGTCAGCCTATGTCATGGAAAGAGCAGGTGTTCCTAATGTTTTGTACACTCAGTGTATGTCTGTATCTCCAAAGGAACAACAAGCTTTCAACACATTCATAGATACGACCAAGTTCAGAACAATTTACTGGGAAAAAAAGTAGACCAAGACTAATAAACTCTGAAGGGAGAAGTACTGTACACAAAGTTATTCACCATTAAACCAAGTGATATTATATTAGGACCCCTTAAACTCAGCTCTACCTACCACTTAACTATTGAACCAATCACTGGTCCATACTGGCCTATTGCACCATAGTGTGTTGTGGTGGTCTACCACAATATAAGCCTGTGTTGTGTCAGAGGCAGTCAGAACCATAAACATTTTACAACTATCTGTATTCCACCACAGTCCTTTCTAAACTATATGTCAGGTGCCAAATAAATCAATGTAAATATAGCAATTTAAAAAACACCCCTGCCCTCTCAATGTAGAGGGCACTGAAACAAAGTATCTCGCTAGCTGTCAATGATGTTTGTCCATTTTCTTCCTTTACTTCCTTGGTCTAAAAACCAAACACACATCCACACTAGTTTTTACAGCACCATCCCATTACTGTAAGTGCATCGCCCAAAAAACTTCCAGACATCTTTGCATCACAATTGTTTTCTAGTGCCCACCATTACCGAAGGCAAGTATGTGCAAAGTATCACCCCCTAAAAGATCGATCCACATTCGGTTATAATGGCCTCAAATAGAATAGAAAATGATTTCACCTCAAAAACCCGCTATCCTCAATCAATTCCTATAGGATCAGGCGAACAGAATGTGTCTGGGTGGTTCTTATTTCATTACACCCCTCCCTCCGTATTAAACTAGAGGAGTGTTATGAGACGGACGCCATCAGCGGGCCCTGCCATCACCCTCGCGGTGGTCCGCCCTGTCGGCCCTGGTGCTTTGTGGGTAATCGATCCTCGCCGTCCAGAGACGGTCTCCGTAATTGGTTAAAATGACCGGGGTGCAGAGAGGGGATGACTCTCTCACCCCCTCTCGCTCTCTCTGCTGAAAACCATTTCCCAGCTCTGGCTTGGAGCCGAGCCAAGCCCGGGGTTGTTCGGATGCGTTCCAGCCCTAGCCTGACTGGCAGCAATTACGGGGTGTCTGAGCCAAGCTCAGCTTGCTGCTCCGCACAAACACCCCTAATTACTGCCAATTAGGCTAGGCGGGTAGTCAGATTGGAGAAGCCGGGGGGATGTTCAGGCATGGGTGGGCATGGAAACAATTTTCAAGAGCTTAGAAAACGTGACTGGATGAAAAGGTTAATACTTTGGAGTGCGGGGAGGGAGGGAGGAAGGTGGAAGGAGGGGAGGGGAGAGAAGGATAGAGGGATACTAACAAAAGAAAGGAAAGGGGGGGATGAAAGCCGGGTTCTATTTTCTCACCTCCAGCGACGAGCCGGGTTTCTTTTTCAGCTCCTCACATTTCCTGAACTTGCAGATCTGGTGGCCCGTCTTACGGTTCCGACAACTGCTGCACACGCCGCAGTTGATTAGCCGCCTGCAGGGCGCGCACACCCCACACCGTTTCCTTTTCTTCTTCGCAGGGTTCCCGCCGGATGCCGAGGAATTATTCTGTGGGCAGTCTGCCAGATTGGCAATTTGAAACGCACTGTCTGTAACGGCTGCCGAGGCTGCGGGGGAGTGAAGGGCTGTCATGACGATGACCCCGGGAGGTAATGAGATGCCCCCTAAAGCTGGAATGGCGGAAAAAGTTCCGACACGTTCCTGGAGATTCATTATCTCTGCTTCGCCGGCGCCGCATTTCAGCTTGTTCATGCATTCTCCTGCTAAAGGTCTGCAGTGTTCGGGGGATAAGCTAGAGAGGAAATTATTATTTGCCATTTGCTGTAGCGTTTCTGGCGGCGCGCCATGCTTCCCCGGCCTCTGGGAGTCATTCCTGTGCATGCTGGTCCTATTAGGGTTTATTGTCGCCGATTTCCTCCCCCAGAGCATGGCGTTATCGCAGTTCCACGGGGACATGCCGATCCGGGCGCTGGGGAAAATGGGCGTCGTGATGCGGGCGATCTTGGCCGTCTGGCCGAACGCGCCGTTGGTTTTGTAAAAGTTTGCAAAAGAGCGGTACCGTTCCATCTCGGCGTTATAATCCAAAAGCTGGCTTAATCCACCATCCTGGAGGTTCTGCAAGTTCTGCAGGTTCTGAAGGTTCTGAAGGTTATCCTTTTGTAAGAGGGACAAGTCTGCGTTCTGTCCGTTCTCAATGCAGAGAGCATTGTTTATATTAGACATGGCTGGAGGACGGTTGAGCAGGGTTCACTGGGGAAGAGTCTGGGGTCGCCGTCAACGGTGGCCTTCGTCAAACTAGAAGCTGCTGGTTACCACCAACAATATGTTACCATCCTGCTTCTGTCTCCTCCAGTACTAGAACACAAAGAACAAACAATTACAGATACAACAGGAAAACAACATCCTCAGCCTAATCAATTTCCATTCCCTCTCTCCTCAAGTTTTTGCCTGAGATGAAAGTTGATAAAAGACGTCTGAAGAATCAGCTGGCATGTCGTTAATTTTCTTCTTTCAGACTATATTATAATGAAACGTATCTCAAACTATTCCGAGCACATCCATATCTGTTGACAATAACATGATAGCTGTGACACACCAACATGTCATAATGGAATACAGGAATTAGCATGCTGGAGAAGACAGAGCTAGCTCCGTGTCAGAGAGACTTTTAAGAGATGTTTAATGCGGTTGTCAAAGGATTCCTGGATATTTTGAAATAAGTCTTATCAATTATGTATTTGATGGTATATTCTGGCAATGGATAAACAAATATATCTATCTATATCTATATATATATATAAATGAGACCAGTCACTCAAATAATATAAGCACAATATTCAGCCAAAAAGTCTCATCCATGCTCACTGATATAGCAAACTCCTCTGGAACATCAACAGAAAACAAACCTATTTTCCAAATCCCTGATGTTATCCTGATGCTATACAGTCCCAAAACATTATGCACATAGTACACCTCACGACAGACAACGTTTTACATTCTTTTCACCACCACTGATGTTATTCTAATGCTATACAGTCTCTTCCATGTAAACCCACTGCCGTTCGGTCTCTTAATAGCAACTGGTATTCATTCATGGATCCCAGGTTCTATTACATTAACTCAATGACAGCGGAGAGAGACCACCACTGGTGAATTTCAATCCAACCCATGAAGCCACAGACAGACCTCCACTGACAACCATAGTGTCAACTGCCTTAGGGGGGAGACTCCATTTCCTCTCTCCCCTCCCTCCCTCTCTCCTCCCCCTCAGTCTGCCTGGAATTGGTTTCCACTGATAAAAGCCCCATTAGACACATCTCTCTCTCTCCCTCCCTCCATTAACTTTTTCAGGCTCTTTCTTTCTCTGTTTAATTGCCAAAGCCGATCCATTGCGGGGAAACACTAAAGCATTTCCAGTCATTTCCATGGTACAACCCAACAGCTATCTCCCAAAATGAATGATACATATCCACACTGGAACGGTGGAGCCACAGAGAGAGAACATATTGGGTGGCCTTACAGCACAGCCAGAATAGTAAAGCACATGCCCAATCTCAATACAATTACCCAGAAAGTAGTATTTTTGCTTATATCTGCTCTACCACAAAATGAAATGAAATTCCTGAATTATGAAATCCATGCCAAATAATGGATTAACCCTTTTTGTTTTATTAATATTCAACTTGAGGACAAAGCACTAATTTAGATCCTTTTTATAATCATTTAAAAAAACAATATTAAACAAATATGAATAGTAACTGTTTGAATACAATGACATAGCCTACCTGCTCATTTGAAGCCAATATTATCCATACAAATGCATTATATATATATGGTAGGTGGAAACCAAAAAAAATCCTGGTGTGCCATCCCAAAAGCACCCCACCACCACCAGTAAACAAAACCGTCCATGCCTCAATGATCGGCCCTGCTCGTAGTCATTATTACTTAATCAATTCACCCCAGGAGCAAAATACGCAGCCCAAAGGCAATCAAGTCACAGCTATCGATTCTCAACCTGTAAACAAACTTTAGAGACAGAAATGTTCGATACTTAGAGAGAGAGAGAGAGAGAGAGAGAGAGAGAGAGAGAGAGAGAGAAAGAGGACCACAGTACTGTACGTCCGATGACGACTGACGAGCTATTGTGTGGCTGCCTGCCTGCTGTGGCTGCCATTAATTATCGCTAGTCTGGTCTGTCCGAGACACTCGGAGACCAAAGGTCATGCAGAGACAATCCGTAGAGGGGTCTGGACAGTGCAAATAAACCATAACAATTAATCCGACAGCGCCTGGATCACTTTACCGCCAGCTTTAGCCGACGTAAATCGGGGGGCAGTCTGGGAGAAAAGCATGCAAAATATCATGACGCTGCCTGGACTGAGGAAAATGGAAGAGCATCACCTACCTACCAGGTTCCTGGCGAGAAGAGATTCCAGACGCCTAGCAGTCTGCTGCCAACACAGAGCGGCACATTACGGCAAGGCGCGATGGAGAAAAAAATAACGCGAGGATGTGGGAAGAGCACAGGCACACACTGAAAAACTGCGCTCAAATTAAAAGGAGCATTTTTACAGACTTATTTTCCTGGCTTGAGAAAAGTAGAAAAAATTGCAAACTCCAAGTGATAGCCTATCGAGCTTTCAGAGGGAAAAAAAACCAACGGTTTATTATTATAAAACCATGGCGCCGTAGGAGGGAAATAACGGTGCGTTTTAGGTGTTTCCTCTGCTTGGTCCGAGGTGTATCGTGTGTGGCTGCCTAGTGTTAGCTCGGTCCTGTCTCTGTGTGTGGCTGATTGGTGCTGAGGTGAGGAAGCTAGGATGTGGACACCTACTGATCATTGGTTAGAAATTACTATAGAAACACGAGGAGCACTCGGGAGGGGCTGGTTTAGGGCCAATGACTGTGGCTTAGGGCGCTCTGCCGGGAAATAACTCTGGGAAGCTGCGTCTTAACCTTTTGTCGTTCCCATTCTCTCCTCTTCTATTTCATTCGGACACGCGAGGCGTTTAGAGGGTTGTCATTTACAGTATGCGTCTTTTAATAGGGATTTGCGCTTCGCGTGAGGGAAATCTTGTCAAATTAATTGGAATTGAGCGGTCCAGTGATGAAGATAAAATGCCTCCTACCCAGGGTGTTTTTTTTCCTCTCTCCCCCCCCCTCCATTAGAACGACCGCCATAATTACGAAGACCTGCGCGTGCCACCGCGGGGATTCATCACGATTAGGCTATAAATCCTTCCCGATGGCCACAAATGCATGGCTCCCGCGCGGGGTAGAAACACATGGATGCACGGCACATTTATTCTATGTGCCCATGTGGGATGCACTCCATTCACAATGTTATGGAATATAATTCTGGCTAATGCACGTGAAATATGGTCATGTAATGAAATTATGGCGCCAATCAATTACCGAGCCAATCATTCAACCAACACAGATTAGGCCTATAGATTTGCAATTGGTGATGTAGAATAGCCTAAAATTATTAAACATCGCTCTTAAACTCAAGAGATAAGATAATACAGTTCATGAATACACTATTCATGAAAAGTGCCAACACAATGCGATTTCAATAGATCTGGGCTATTTGCCCAAATAGAAGAAGTTCATCCCAATTTGACCGAAATGTACCTTTAGTTATAATTAGTGACAAAGCTGGCAGATAACTTGTTAATTTAAAATGTCTTGGGGAAAAAACTGAAATAAGTAGCCTATTTTAAAACGGCAAACTTTAAAGTAAAAATGGCTGGTGGTCCTCTGTAGCTCAGCTGGTAGAGCACGGCGCTTGTAACGCCAGGGTAGTGGGTTCGATCCCCGGGACCACCCATACACAAAAATGTTTGCACGCATGACTGTAAATCGCTTTGGATAAAAGCGTCTGCTAAGTGGCATATTATTATTATTATTAAAACAATGGCTCCCAAACCGACAGCAACACACACACCCCTGATTACAAATGACAGGCACCTGTGTGACAATTAGCCACTCCCGCCAATCAGCCAAGACAGTGAGCGGCTCAATTAACAGAACGTCTGGAGCTATCTGGCACGTTCAAAACAACTAGGAACTCGAAGAATACGAGGTCAAATCATGATGTCAGTGATCTTCAGGTCGGAAAGTCGCTCTAGAAAGAGGCCCGAGCTCCCGTGTTCCCGAGTTGGAATTTTGAGTTGGATAACCATTCAAATCGATTTCTCCCAGTCAGAGCTAATTTTTTCCAGAGTTCCCAGTTGTTTTGAACGCTGGGATGTCGGAGATTTCTGAGTTCCCAGTTGTTTTGAATGTGGCAATAGTAAGCACTGATTATGGAGAATGATTGAATGGGTAAATTACGTACATAATTGTATACACATGCTTCATAATGATCTATAGTTTTAAAAAGTCAAACACATTAAATACTCTTTAAAAATATTAATTGATTCCATTGAAAAGGACTCCCCTTCACAGTTATATGCTATATATACAAAAGTATGTGGACACCCCTTGAAATGAGTGGATTCGGCTATTTCAGCCACACCAGTTCCTCATATTTCTACCCTGCTAGAGCTGCCCGGTCAACTGTAAGTGCTATTATTGTGAAGTGTAAACTTGTAGGAGCATCAACGGCTCAGCCGCGAAGTGGTAGGCTACACAAGCTCAGAGAACGGGACCGCCGAGTGCTGAAGCGCATAGCTCGTCTGTCCTCGGTTGCAACACTCAACACCGAGTTCCAACCTGTCTCTGGAACAACATCAGCACAAGAACTGTTAGTCGGGAGCTTCATTAAATGGGTTTCCATGGCTGAGCAGCCACACGCAAGCCTAAGATCACCATGTGCAATGCCAAGCGTCGGCTGGAGTGCTGTAAAGCTCACCGCCATTGGACTCTGGAGCAGTGGAAACGTGTTCTCTGGAGTGATGAATCATGCTTCACCATCTGGCAGTCCGACGGACAAATCTGGGTTTGGCGGATGCCAGGAGAACGCTACCTGCCCCAATGCATAGTGCCAACTGTAAAGTTTGGTGGAAGAGGAATAATAGTCTGTGGCAGTTTTTTTATGGTTTGGGCTAGGCCCCTTAGTTCCAGTGAAGGGAAACCTTAACGCTAAAGCATACAATGACATTCTAGACAATTCTGTGCTTCCAACTTTGTTGCAACAGTTTGGGGAAGGCTCTTTCCTGTTTCATCACGACAGTGCCCCCATGCACAAAGCGAGGTCCATACAGAAATTGTTTGTC